GGGGGGGGGGGGGGGGGGGGGGGGGGGGGGGGGGGGGGGGGGGGGGAGACGCGAAAAGGTGACGAAATGGGAGCAAGTTTTTCACAAGTCTACTCTGCAACATCCCGACGGCACGTTGTGTGACCGCCAAACTGCCCACTAAGTTCCAAGTCGAGCAAACACCCAGAAAGGCTAAAACCAAGCGAAAAAGAAAAAAACTTGGCACTACCTGCTTGAGCACGGCGCACATGACGCGTTCCACCATGAAAGGCGTTAGGTACACCTCGTCGCACGGGTGCGGTGTTGGCACCAACGCCGGCGGCTGGTCGAGAAGCGCTAGCCGGTCCTGAAAATAAAAAGGCGTACAGGTAGAATATCCAACACCAAGACAATGAAACATCATGCAAACCGGCTGCGTGGGGATATTGAACGATCAAGAGCGAATATCAACAAAGCAGGGGTGGGCTTGCGGCTGCGGCAAGAGGCACGTCTGGCGTTCGCGTAGCAGCTTTGGGTTCCCGGGGCGGAAGGGTCGACGAGTGAAAGGTCCGTGCATGGTCTACGTACACATGCAACCATGAGATGGCAAGCTTCGGACACGGCGGAACGTGCTCGGAATCTCATTCACGTGCGTCAACCTACGCAAACGGGTTTAGATTAACGCCCACGACAGCGGGGGGGGGAGAAGGGATCAGCGTTTCCAGGACAAGCAGGAGCACGCGACAGCTGAGAGCACGCCAAGGTCTAGGGAGCGCTGACGACAACGTCTTCTTCCTTGCCGCCGCTCTCTGCTTCCCTTGCGTCGCAACGAAATCATACACTGGCATCGACGCTCGGTGTGCACTCACTTGAAAAGAAGGGAGGACGAAAGTTTCTGGCGCCTGAGCTGGGAGTTGGACGGACGCATTACCGCCTGGCGGCGGGGAAAGAGTGCATCAAGGCGGCCGCAAGGGAACAAAAAAAAAACAAGTTTCGGAAATACATTCGTCTTGTTTGGTAGTAAAAACTACATTTCCTATACCACAGAGAGACATCTCGAACTTTTGACACTGGGTCATGCCCAACACCCGCCACAAAGCCAAACGTCTCCACAATCAACCACGCCACAATGTTCGAACGAAACCGGCAAAAACCCAACGACGCTCACCGCGGTTTGCGAGCGGCAAGCCCCTGGACGCCCTCGCCGCGAGCCTCAGCAGCCTCTCCATCCCCTCCAGCGCCTCTACCCTGCACCAGGACCCCACGTCACCCCTCTTGTCCACCGAGTAGTCCTCCGACGACGCCAGGAGCGTCGCCAGCACGCCTTCCACGTCCGCGAGGGTAAGCCACGCCGGACACCACGCCGCCGCCGCCCCGGACTCCCCTTCCGGAGCATCAACACCGCTTCCACCACTGGAAACCCCACCGCTGTCGTGGCGTCCCTCGCCGCTTCCTGGCTCTTGCGACGGCGGCTGCTGCTGTTGCTGCTGCTGCTGTTGCTGCTGCTGCTGCCTCCCCACTCCGACCTCTTCGCAAAGGGTCACCAGGGACCGGACCGCGTTTCTCCGCGTCTCGGCATCGGGCTCCCCCCCCGGTCCTCCGATGTCGCCACCGCCGTTCGTCTCAGTGGTGCCGTTGGCGGCACCACCGCCGGTTGTTGCCGGTGACGGGGAGCGGGGAGGACCGTGGCGACCGAGCGCTGCGTCCTTCAAGGCGTCAAGGACTTCTCCCAGAACTGCGGGCGAAGCGCCTGGGCGGAGCGCGGGGGGGGG